TCATCAGCTTTTGTTTCTCCCGAAAAGTGATGAAACACACTTTGATCAATCCACTGTCGAATATTACCAACAGTCTTCCTGTGCATATCAGCCCACTTTTTATCAGTCATATCACTTGGCCTACCTTCATCCCCTAGAACAGGATCAAGCAAATCTTTGCAATACAACAAGTCTTCTATTCTAGGCTTCCACATATGATAATTGGATGAAGTCAATTTAATCATAGTACCAGTACTCGATGACTCTTCCATTTTATTGGTGTAACACCTCAATTACCGAACCGTAGCTCTGATGCCACTGTTGTGGCGGAAAGGGTATAAGCATAACACACTGCGGAAGCGAGCCCCAAGAAAAACTCCTTTCCTACTACCAATAAAATAGGACAACCACCCAAACAAGCAACTAACTCAAGAACTGATAAAATAAAGGAGGCACGCAAATTTACGTGGAAACCCAAATCGGGAAAAACCACGAGACTGTAACAACAGTCAAATCTCCACTATCACAATAATGGGAAAACAGTCTTCACCGACTGGTGGATACACAGGACTTCACCCAAAGGTGGATTACAACAATACTCTTCCACACACACCTATCACAAAGTAGGACTGGAAGGATCTAACCAAAAGAGAGCTAAACCGAAAACTAAACCCTAGCTTTCTTTCTTTTTCTCTCGTACAAAACAATGCACGGCTGCCCAAATTTTTCTTCTCTCTTGGCTAAAAAATACACCCCTAAAAATTATGCCAAAGCCTTGCTTTTGTAGAGCAAAAAAACCTAAAAACAAAAACCCAATTGGAGTAGGTTTTGTTTCCTAAAACCAAAGCCAAAATTGGCTTGGTTTTATTTGTTTCCTTGTTGACCCAATTAAGGGGAATACCGGGCCCAACAGAACCTTGGAACTCCAGTGACCGTCTCTGTATTCCAAATTGGCTTGCTCAATGAAATGCTCTGCTGTCTGTGACTGAGGCAAAATTAGTGGTTTTTATAGAAAAAAAATTGACACTTGTTTTTCCAATTAGTAGAAAAATTCCTCCTATAATTGGTGATTTCAAACGGGATAAAATACTATCCTATGTCTTCACAGTTAACAGACCAATGGGATAAAATACTACTCTCTTTCACCCTTTTTATGCATTTTGATTTGTCTACGTTTCACCTAATATATTTTTTCAATTGAAAAAAAAATAAAATTATTCCTTAATTAATAATTAGGAGAATACAGTGAATGTGAAAATATAGTTTTAAGATTTTTTTTTTCCGATCGGAAAATATTTTAGTAAAACTTATAACAAATCAAAATTCGTTATAATAAGAACTAGAGAATATTTTAAACGGAATAAAATACTATGCTATGCTTAACCGTCTAAATTCAGTTTTCAAACTCGACGTGCATACGTTTTTTTCCAAGGGATAGGGGGGGAATTCCATTTAGAAAATCATCTAACCATCAATATCTCAACTTCTCTTTTGGTTTGCTAATTTTTCACGTCACTAAACCATATCATGGAACAACTAAGATTTGAAAATCGATTGGTATGTTGTTAGTAATCCCAACACTAGTTGGGATTTCCAGTGCTTCTCCAAGCCCCTTCCCATGTGAATATTTAGCTGATGTGCTTATTTTTTTTCTTCTTGTCCAACCATAGTTCGAATCACTTGTTTTATGCTCCCAGCTTTGCTGTCCAAACTGACAATAATCAGGCTCTGGACGCAAAATATGTTGGAGTTATTTTCAATATAGTATAGGGGCACAATTAATATGTTGTGCTTATTAGGTATTTTCAATATATTGTACAGACACAACTAATAGGTTGTGCTCATGGACTCCATATGAAAAGATATTAAGGAAAAGTTATGTCTAGTACCATAACCAAGGGTTACATCTAATTCTCAAGAGTTTTCTCTAACTCTATAAATATAGATCATTTGGATGCTTTTAGTGTATAATGAAATCACCAAATAGTTGAAATATTTTCAATGACATTTCTTATCATTGTATCAGGTTGTTGGTTCACTAAAGTGCATAGTGAAACAACATGATCTCCATTTTATCTCATAGGGAATTCGCCTAGACAATTGCACTGTATAGTGGGCGAATTTAGCCTAAAGGAAAGCAAGTTTACTGGTGACTTGGAGACAAAATTTTCTTTTGTCCTAATTATAAATTCTTTCTCTTGTTCTTTGATCTAATTCAGCCATTGTTGTCTACTATTCTTGAAGTAGAATTCCAACAATCTTTCGGCTAAATTTTCTGTTAAACAATGGCTAGTACTTGAAGAATCAAGCAAGGACATTTTCGTTGGTAAAAATGTTGCAGATCATTGGATTTAATGGAAAGGGCAATGATAGGATACAATGGACATCATCATCAAAGTAAGAATTATATTTTACTTGTGAATTATGACATTCCAAGTTCAAGGTATGTATATATTTAATAAATACATGAATGTAGTAGTGATGAGATCTATGCCTGAGTGGACATGGTTGTAGAATTCATGAACTTTTGCATGTAAAAGAAATTTACGATGCAGTATTTGTTGATTGCCCAAATGTGTGGTTTCTATCAAAATAAAATACTTAATTAATCTGATGATTAATTAAGAAAAGGTATGTCATAAAAGGTTTGATAGAGAATTTGATCGTGTTTTTATCATGCTTTGAGATGGAAATGCAAAATTGACATTTGATATAGTAATAGTGCTTTGAGTGCATGTTATAAATTTTTATAAAGTCAAAATCTGTTGGAATTTATTCTGTGTTTTGTTTAGCTTTGTCGACTTGTTGGTCGACTAGAGTAAAGTTGACATAGAAGTTGTCGTTCGTTGATATGTCTGACTATTTGGCTTTGTCGACTTGTTCATCCATAGAATTAAAGTTGATAGAAAAATCAACATCCGTTAAAGTGTTTGGTTGTTTGGCCTCGTCGACTTAGTCGTCGCCTGGATAAAGTCGACAGAAAAGTCAACGACCGAAACCTAAGAAAATCAAAATAAAATAAAATAAATTCTTGTGTGCAGAATTTTTGTGAGTACATCACATATTAATTGTTTGATTTTGAGTTAATCAAATAAAGAACGTTGATCCCAATAAAGTGCTAATTTCGTGTATTTGTGTTTGTTACATAGAATATTTAATTGCATAAATAAATTTGCAATTTATATGATAATTTCATTTGATACATAGTATGACAACAGTGATATAGTTATGAATTTATATCATATGTGTTAATATATGATTTGAAATTCATGTCTTACTATATATTTGAGTTGTTTATGTCAATACTTTAAAGTTTTCATGAGATCTCAAAGGAAAAAAGAGATTATATGTTTGAAAACTTGGAACTCTTTATATATAATAAAATTGATTGAAGAGAATGAAAAATTCTCTATTAAAATTAAAAAGGAGAATGATCCTTGACCTAAGTCCACATTGTGGAAAATGGACAAAGTATCAAGTCCATGTTCGAAATCATATCAACTAAAATAACAATGAATCAGGTATTAGGAAAGCTACCATATGTAACAAAGAATGACACTAAGAGCTCATGTGTAAAATGCTTGCAACAAGAGAAATAGAGCTAATTTTTCCAGGAATATGAAGAAAGAAATCGTGACATGATGATTCGAAACTTCTTATTAGGGAAGATGATTTCATTATTGGGTTGATTGCGAAGTTTGAAAGAACAGACTGGTTCTTCAATTTCCTAAATGTGATCATATTAATTAACAGTTTGCATGCATTATTATTTAAATTGTGATCACGAGATGAATTAATGAACTCAGGTTAAGAATTAAAATTTTTAACCTGATTTGAGTCAATAGACTTGCGTGAAGAAATGATCCTTAAAATTTGAGTTAACAAACTCATAAATAAGGACTAAATATTGAAAGACATTTGGTCTAAAGACTGAATGACTTAAAGGGATATATGTAAAGTCCAGAAATGATTACTTGCATTAGAAGCTCAATTCAACGCTAGAGGTCTTGAATTCAATGAGCGATAGTACAATATACAAGTAATTGAGCACTATAATATTTATCCCAAAGTAGTTAGTACTGTATATTTCTCGTTGGGTATCAGGTTGAGAATTGACTCTTAATAAACTCTTGTAAATGCCAAAATGGCGGGAATATTAAGAAGTTTGCCTATATGAATATCGGATTGGGCATCCACAAAACTTGGAACTTAGCTTTGTTAACATTCATGAAGAGATATGGGTACAAGACTTTACGTACCATACGCACTGGTAAGGTACAGGCAAGTTGAGGAAAAAGAAACCTATGTGTGTTAACAATAGTGACTTGTAACATGTACGCACAGTTCAAAGCTAGTCTACCGGGTTGTACTACAAGTTATGAAACTGACACTAAGGTAGTGGTTCAAGTCTAACGACATCATTATTTTATGCATGGGTTTTGTTGGAATAATTCTGGATCTATTTAAAAATCATTTTCAATATATTGAAAATGGCGGGGGATTGTTGGAGTTATTTTCAATATATTGTAGGGACACAATTAATATGTTGTGCCTATTGGGTATTTTCAATATATTGTAGAGACACAACTAATAGGTTGTGCCTATGGACTCCATATGAAAAGACATTAACGAAAGATTATGTCTAGGATCATAACCAAGGGTTACGTTTAATTCTCAAGAGTTTTCTCTAACTCTATAAATATAGATCATTTGGATGCTTTTAGTGTACAATGAAATCAGCAAATACTTGGAATATTTCCAATTACATTTCTTATCCTTATATCAGGTTGTTGGTTCACTAAAGTGCATAGTGAAACAACATGATCTCCATTTTATCTCATAGGGAATTCGCCTAGACAATTACACTGTATAGTGGGCGAATTTAACCTAAAGAAAAGCAAGTTTACTTGTGACTTGGAGACAAAACTCTCTTTTGTCCTAACCATAAATTCTTCCTCTTGTTCTTTGAACTAATGCAACTATTATTGTCCACTATTCTTGAAGTAGAATTCCAACAAAATATTCTTTAGATTTAACTATTATACTGCAGCATTCAAATGTAAACACAATAAACAACACTACAACACAACGAGCGTGTTGATTGTATATATAATTTTTGGATTTATTACACATAAAATACGAACAGAAATAAAAATATCAATACAAATACAACCAGAAAGCCAAAGAAAAGGAAAAGAAAAGAACTCCGACACACTAAAGACTGAATTATTACAATCCTGACATGATTGCTTATATCCTCACACATCAAATGCAAATACTAACCCCCTTCATCTCGTGGTATATACACAATAGTTATCAAGCAAACATTATTTAAAATTTTAGCCAAAAAAGACTATTGGTATACTCTGATAATGAAGGAATATTAATTAAAGAACGATAAGATCCAAAAGCACGTCGACAATATGAGGCTCAAGGACTAAAGCAGGATCGGTGTATCCATCAAGATTGTGCTTGTAAGTAACATCCAGTATCCTTGCAAGGTTAAGAAATACCATGAGAATTTCTCTTGGCATGGTGTCCGTGGCTGGCATGAGTAGCTCTTCATTGATTTCCTTCCATGCATCTTCTACGATTTCTTCGAATTTCTTTATTGCTTCTTCTTCAGAAACATTGAAACTGTTCATATAACATTCTAGTCCAGTTGTACCCCTTTGCTTCTCAGACTAATGCAATCCAAATTATATGAAAAATGAGAATTTGTTAGAACTTTATCATTAAGTCATCTACAGAAATATTATACCTATATTTTGATATTATTGTATATGAGTTGGATACTTTGACTATCCTGAGAAGTACTGAAGTAAGACTGTGAAAAGATTAGATGATTCGATTGGAAACTAGATCGTGGAATATTATTATTATGATCGGGAAGAGGGTTTTAGACATTGAATGAGTAATATCAGGGGCGAATCAACCTTTGAAGGGGCCTAAAAAAAATTTTAAAATTGGGTCCTTTTTCGAAAAAAAAAAAATCAAAGAAAAAAATTGAAGCCAACCAAGCTTGTCAAAGGCTTTATTGTTGCAAGTTAAAATCCAGGATAAAAGAGGAGGGTTTGTTTTTTATTGTAGTACACAAAAAATATTACAAAAAGGGTTGGGCTCAAAAAGATGTAAAATATAATACGATATTTTAAAATATTTATGAGTAATAATTCAATAATGGCAGCCTCAAAATTATTGGAGATAATGCCCTAACTTTAATTGTATTATCGAAGTGCCAGCTCTGATACTATAATAAGAAAACTTTTAAGGATGGATGGAATGATGTCGGACATCATATGCATAATATGCTAGGAAAACTATTTAGGATTGATGGAACCAAGACACATACCTCATATGAAGCAATGTCATTGATAAAACGGCCTATCTTTGATGCAGCTACTACAATTTTAGGATCTTTTGCTAGCCAATCAAACACCTCCTCTATACCCATCTTCATGAATGCCAAGGAAGCTGGTGCAAGTATGAAGTATGCGCTTGTGATAATTGCTGCTTCTTTGTAATCTTGGAATGCTGGCAGCTCTCTATTGAGGAACCACTTAGACTGAGTGTAGCTAGCCCTCACGTATCGTTTCCACTGTTTAAAATAAAAAGAAAAGTTTGTCAACATAGGTTGCACAATGTCTACATGACTACATATGTTACTCCCTCCGTCTCAGAAAAATAGTCCACTTTGAGTTTTGAGATTTGTACTAAAAACAGTACAAATTCTAAAACTCAATGTGGACTATTTTTTTGGGACGGGGGGTAATATATTTTTTTGTTCCAAAATGAAAAAAGCAAAATCATATTATTGTCTCCGCCTTGAATATATGTTATCAGTAAAATCATAGTACTTTTGTAATATAAAATTCAAGAGATGCCGTGTATTTTTTGTACCTCTTCCTTGTATTTAGACGATACATATGATCGAGACATTCCTTGTTTAGCAAACTCCTGATCCATCCACTCAACCACATTTATAAGTGCTATGTATGTTTTTCTCATGTACTCTGGGAGTCCATCAGCTTCCTTAATGTCCCACCTGAAAAGCAAAGGAAACATCATTGAACGTACTACTCTACAAGTACTTCGCCGTCTCAAAAATCATACTACATCTATCTCGAAAAAAGTAGTCGATATTAAGTTCTTAAATTTGTATTAAAACTGTAATACAAATTTTATAATTCAAAGTGGATTATTTTTTTGGGACAGAAGGAGCAATTTAATTTTCTCAAATATAATTCGTTCAAAAAAAAAAAGTCCAGCTTAGAAAAATTTGCATTAAATTAATAGTAAAAATTGAACAAGCATTAAAAAAGTATACAAAGAATAAAAAGTACCTTTCAATTGCATCTCTGAAAGCTTTTAGTTCATCAAGGTCACCATAGGCATCATATGTGTCATCTATTGTCGTAATGAAGACAGATGATTTGGCACTGAGGATTCGACATAAAGAATATTGAGGCTCAAAGAAAGTTGCCAAGCCCCAGAAATAACATTCCACCCATCTCGCTCTTGAATAAGGCACTTCTGATACAAGTTTCAGCTCCTCAATCCAGCTGAAAATATATAGTACGATTATTATTTGTATATATTGTGACTTTTCACCAACTCCCAAGCTACATTTACATCGGAAAAACAAACTTTGTACATTTAAATTGTTTTTTTTCTTGTTCTTGAATCTGAACTGTGTATCTAATCCTATTTCAGAAGTTTGTATAAAGACTAACTATATAAGACAAAGTCCAACTCGGACAAAATCTCAGTTTGATCAGGAACTATAATTTTTGAAAACATAATATTTTTTAAAAAACATTTTTTATAACTTGTTTTCAACAGTTTTGAGAAAAACAGAAAGAATGAAAAATATATGGAGCTTTTAACCAAAGAAACTTTAGGAAATAGTAGTACCTTTCAATCTGGTCAAGTTCCTTCCTGTGCAATATCTGTAGATAGTAGAAATCCAATTTGGCCAACCTTAAGAGTGTAGTGTTTTTGGCTTCATCTTCTTCATAAACTGAGATGAAATGACGGGCCTCAACTCTTGGAACGCCCCTATGAAGTGACTGTTCAAGAGCATGTTTGATTTGTTTGGCCAGAGAAGAAGGCATTGTTTCCAATTCTTCTCCACATTTCAGATGAGTAGTAGCAAAAGAAAGGGCTTCTTCTAAGATAGTATCGTCTTGAGTCCTCAAGTAGGCCGCTTGATATAAACTCAAAAGACCTCTTTTGTCTTTGGTTAGGGTTTCTTTGAATTCACCATTGCTGTTCAAAAATTGTTGAAAGACACCTGTGAAAATTTTTTTTTCCCCCAATTAATGATTCAGTTAATAATTAATGTAAGGGTCCAAAAGAAAAGGGACAAAAACCCACAGAAATCAACACGAACGCAGTAATAATCTGAATTATGTACTACTAAAATTATTACCCTGCTTGAAACTTCAGTTTTCATACATTTTGAACTAAAAATAAAAATCCAAACTGTACAATAATTTCGAGACAAAAAAAATTATATATTGAGTTTGTGTGAACGACAAGTTTAGTTCACTTTGTGCTCGACACCAGTGAACTTTAATGTTATTCTACGAAATATGATGATTTAGTAGGCGTTTTACACTTACTGGAAGAAACATTAAAACCGTGTTGCCTCAGTAGTCGAAATTGAAGGGCAGTGGCATATAAATCATCGTCAACAACCTTTGATGGACCGTTTTGAAGGAAGATTTGGTGCAGAATGGAGTCAATTTCTTTGTCGAAGTGATAGGAGATGCCAAGTTGTTCTACTGTGTCGACCAAGTTCAACTTGTGGATCGTTGTCCCGTCTTTCATACTCTTAATTAGCATACCTCTCACTTCTTCCTTCAGCATTTCAATCTCCTTAGCATGCATGTCGTACACCTGCTCGTAAATTTAATTCAACCAAAAGGGCAAAGTAACGAACTAACTTCACAAAGTTTACCACTTTGTTCAAAAAGCAATAAAGAAAATCCAAACTGAGTAATCAATTTTGACACAGAGGGAGTACTGTACTTGCATGTGTGAAATTTCGTGAAACTAGAATAATTTGTCCATAAAAAGTTTAATAGTAGTTGAATCTGGTATCTTGAGTTGGTTTTTTTCTTTTTTTTGTTTGTTGTGAAACATCTTGAGTTGGTTGAATGAGCTATTGGAAAAAGTAAAAAATTGCAAGCGTCATAATTAGTGGGGGAAAAAAAAAGTCAAATGCACAAAATCGCTCGTACATAAATTCCCTCTGTTTCAAAATTATTGTCCCGTTTGATATTTCATTTTTAGTACAATTTAAACTAAAAATAAAAATTCAAACTTGGACAATAATTATGGGACGGAGGGAGTATATGTCAATATACTTTCTGTTTGTCAATGCAAATTAGCACATCGAAAAATATGATTAATATTTTGAAACAAATGGAACAACTAAAAATAATGAAATACCTAACCTGCTTGTCTATGGTAATTGGCTTGAACCGATCGGTCCAAATGCATGGCGGGAAGTCCGCCAATGGACGAATCTTCACATCCGCTTGCTTGTTGGTTTGGGGGTAACCAGATTTTTCTGTGGCCATCGTATTGACGATGTAAGTCTGAAAATCTGAGATGTTAGAGAATAAAATTGGAAGAAAAGAAGGAGGTGCTATAGAAGCATCGGACAAATATAGATCTACTACGTAACGAGTTTATATACTAACGCAACAAATTACTGTTACCTAGGCTTAGGAATATGCGTAGGGGGAAATGTATGTTAGAAATGTATTTCAAAACACTATTTTTTTGGAAAGGGAAGTATTCCTTTTGCACATAAATAATACAACTTGTGGACTGCAAATAGGTTCACTTCCATTCCTCAGGTCAAAGAAATCTGTTATTAAATAATATAATTTGAATTTTCACTTTTACTTTATTTTTGTATTTTAAATAAAAATTTAAAGTGAAAAATTGAAAAAAGTATTAATCTAAATTCCACCAATAATGGAGCCAGATATTTCTGGCTATGGTTCTGTGATAAAATTCAAAGCAGCCTGACAGGCCGCTCATGACCAAATACAACGTTTGGACTTTGGACGAAACAAAATTTCTTCACTTTGTACTGACAGTTTAGCCTTCTATAAATGACTAAATGTAGATGTTGTCAGTCGAATTATTTTTGAATTGACATTCCCTTTAGCGCAGACACTACAGGCCAAATGTATGGCGTCCTTGCCACCCCCGAGAGCAATTTGCATTCCAATAAAGAACCCCCTGTTGGTAGGATTGTAGGGAAATATATGTAACGCCAGCTGCTTAAGAAATAAGAAATTCTGTACTGCAAATTTAACTTTTTAAAAGCACTATGCACTTACATTACAAAGCTTAAAGTATGTCAAAAATATGCTTATCTCAATGATCTATGATTTGAAAACAGAATGAGTAATATTATAGAATTGCTTTACTTGATTTTATGACTAGACTGACTTTAAATGGACTACCTTTGCAGTGCATGAATCATAAAAGTCAGCAAAACCCAGGGCCTATTTCTTTTAGAATAATAAACGTCACCTTATGTACGGATTATGAAGAGTCTAATTGTCTTGTAATTTTTTATATCAAATAGTCGGTGGATTACTTCAATGGTAAGTCTTGTGCTCTAACTTGTAGTCCATTAGAGGGTGAAGAGAAGGAATGAATAGCAGCTGTTAATTCATCAACTGTAGATGTGAATACATGAGTTGCAGAGCTCAATTTATTAACTGATTTCTAGAGTTGATCAACTTGTATCAATACACGCAGCGACTTGTGTTATAGATTATCAACGTTAGACTCAGTTCTCTCAAAGTGTTCATGAAACTTTGATTAATAGTAAAATCGACATCCAATGTTTCTTTGTCTATGGATATACATGACAACTAGTCTGAATTCATAATGCGAAATTAGAGGAAACTCCAAGTTGGTGACCAATGCTGACTTTACTCAGTCCCAAAATCATGTGTAAGATGAGGTCACAGCTTAGAAATGTTTGTGGAATTCCAAAATTCAACCAAAGCTGAAACTACTCTTTTGGAGAGCTGTTTTCAATGCTCTTCCGACAAGAATGGGTTTGCAAAAATGAGAAATGGAAATTGATACAATGTGCCCTCGTTGTGGCTCATAGGAAGATGACAGTTTATATTTTTTTTTTTTCAATTGTTTAAATTCTCAAGCTATTTGGAGCTTTGTGTATCTTTCGTACCACTCCATCCTTAATTGCACTAATGCTTTCTTACTTGAGTGGTACATCCAATAGATACAGACTCACCCCTCCGCAGCTGAGGTAGATTTGTTCTCACTCATCTTTTGGAGAATATAGACAGAAAGAAATGACAAGATATGGAGGAATCAGACCAGTCATCTAGTCATTTCTTGGAGGACTATTCAAAGTGAATTGATGCAGCATAAGCAGACTCAAAAGAGGTTGAAATCCATTCAACCTCCTTCAACCTCATACTGTTACAAATCATATGTCTTCCACTCTGACTCAAGAGACTAGAGGTACACATGCAACAATTCACTTTGATAGTTCCTTTCATCCGCGAACTAGGAGGGCAACTGATGCATAGAAGATCACTTCTTCACTGGTTATGGTTATGCGGATCAAGTCAATTTCATTGCAGCTCTCTCACTTTTCCAGACGGAAGCCATGACATGTCTTATGGCACTACAAGAAGCATCAACACTTGGCAGTACATGTGTCAAAGTGTATACCTACTGTGAAGTCTTGACAATTAATCTGCGAAAATGCTTTTGTACCGACTGAGGCACAAGAGATAGTTTCGTTACTACTAGTTTTATTCCCAACCTTTGAATCATGCCAACTGATTAAAGTTAGCAAGAATGAGGTTGAAGAATTGCATAATCTAACATATACTGCATGTCTTTGTAATAGTTTAGGTACTTTTAATTAATATACAAGTATCATTTAAAAAAAAAAAAAAACTCCAAGTTGGTGAGTTTAACTTTACTTAATTTTTTATTTTTATTTTTTACACATCTTTTACTTTCACCGTTGATTACCTTTTCGACGTCAAATACCTTGTTTGTCATAATTGATCCTAGCAGTAGAGCCTTATCTTTATCAACAATGAGTTATAATGATTTGTGGACATGAGTCTACAATCAATAAAATGTGACCAAACTTTGTACACCTTGCTAAATACGTTTTTTCCTTAAATTGGTGGCTCTCTATTAGTATATTCCCAAGTACCCGACCACTACAAATAATTTCAATGATATTATCACAAGCATTATCAATGAAATATCTCAACTGTGTTAGCTGATCCTAATGAAATTAAAGAAATTCTATAAACAATTTTTCCCAGAACATTGAAGACCTGCTTAAGGATGGTTTCGTCATCATAAAGCCAACCAAAATCCACTCAAGCTCCAGGCTTGCAAATTTTATTGATATAATAAGGGGAGGATTTGTCTGCCACAACCTTTAGTTCTTTCAGTCATAAATTTTCTATTTTGTCCCTGTCATTTGACCAAACGAAATTGAAGGAGAGAGAGAAAGAGGAAGAGGGGGAAGAGAGAGAGAATAAGCCGATTGGACTGAACTGAGAAAGTCATCCGGTCCGATTCATGTGAGAACGGACAAATTATTAATTTTTATTTTAATGTTAGTTTATTTACAGTATCGTTACATGTTGAATACCTCGTATTTTGAATATTATTAACAATATTTATACTTTAATGCTTAAACTCTCTACTTTATATTTACTTGAAAATAAACAAGTAATTAATTTTTACTTGAAAATAAATTTAAGATTATTTGTTAAGTTAATTTATTTGAATTGATATTAAAATATGAAATTTTGTTTAAATCGTTATTTTTTAAGATAATTTTTAGTTAAAAATAATAATTATACATTTATAATAAAAAAATAATAATTATACTACAAAGATTGTGACAAATATGTGCAAACAGATTAATTATTTTTTGTACTATAAAGATTTATGATATTTAATATAACTCAAATAATAAATTATTCATAAATTTAATGAATAAAGGTTTTAATGACCTAAAAACTAGATTAACTAATTAAAAAAAATAAAAATTCTAAAAATTAAAAAAATAGCAATAAATCCGATTGATATTTTTTTAATTTTTAGACTTTTTAAATAAAAAATATTTTTTTTAATTACAAAAAAAAACCAAAAAAATCTAAAAAATTAAAAAAATGGGTCTGATCGGACCAGTTCACCATATCGAACCGAACCGGGACCGACCGTGCAATGAAACCGTCTCAGTTAAATCAGGACGGGTGGACCACCCGCCCACTTGTTTGTCCGAACGGGTTCATCGGGCGGTCCACAGTTCCAAGTTAACTCATAACAGTTTCGGTCGACCGACCATGCAATGAAACCGTCCCGAGTTAACTTGAGACGATCAATGAACCCGTTCGAACAAACAAGGGGACAGGCGGTCCACCCATCCCGGGTTAACTCGGGACGGTTTCATTGCACGATCGGTCGTTTTTTTTTTTTTTAGATTTCAATTTTTTTTTAGTTTTTTCTCTAGTCAAGTTATTTGATTTGAAAAAATGACAAGGGTAAAATAGTCCAAATTAGAAATTTGTGGCTGAAAGAACTAAATTTGGTCACTTGAAAAACTAACACCCTACAGTAGAGTACAGGCACATAAGCATGTGTCGTGGCATTGAAGTAAGAGGGGAAAAAAAAATTAATGTTCACGGTTATTATGGGTTGAGCAATTTGTTAAATGTGAAAAGAATATGTTATGGGTTGCCCAATTATAGATTGAAGGGAATGATCTTATTCTATGCCATTTTTAACATCCAACTGTTAGTATTATAGATTTAATAGCACAATTCAATTAAATCATATAAGAAGGCACCATAGTCGTTCTCATTAATTGATTCTAAACAACTTCTTTTCTTGGTTAACTCATTTTATATACACTCAAACCCGATTTCTATTTGTTGAACCATATTTTTGGACGTAGGGAGTCATACATGTCCACTTGAATCTAAACTAGCTTACCCTCTATGAAGTGATCGACTCTTGAGAAACATTCTGGCATTACTTATACTCCTTATGTCCCAAAATTATTGTCCAATTTGAGATTTCATTTTAAGTGCAATTTGAACTAAAAATGAAAACTCAAACTGGATAATAATTATGGAACGGAGGGAGTATTTTGTTTTGCCTAACTCCAGCTTTCACAGCTAAGGCATATTTTGGAGTTGAGTCAGGAACAATTTATGTGATCCTCTTTTGCTTTTCAATTCATTGTTACTTCAGAGATGATGATTACATGTAAATCGGATCTTGTAATGATGTACTTGGTACTACAATTGTCGGAGAAACAATAGCTTAGCCGAGGACTACAATCTTTAGTTCTGAACTGAATCATTTCTTTGTATCTGAGGAAAACCTCAAGAACCATAGGAAGGAAGTTTAGTCAGAAGAATCGGCTATCTTGGTTTTCATTATGATGCCATTATTTCTTCTGATCCATACTGATAATTCCACATTGGCTGTGAAGAACTCAAAGCTAGCTAGAGATACCAATGTGTATGCATGATCTATACACAGACATCAGATTGTTTACTCCCCGTTTACTCTACCTTGATTTATTTTCATAGTCAAAATAAAGTATTCGTCCTGGCCAGAACATCTTTATTGGGTTTAGCTGCTCCAACACAAAAATTACAGCCGAAAGGTATCATAAATTCATGCCTTCTGTAATGCAAATGCTATATGTCAACTAGTTCAGCTTCAGATACTTTCAAAAGATTAAATATTTGGACCATTTTCAGAGGAATCAGTTCACAAAATAGCATAAGGAGTGCAGTAAAAGCCAAAAAAAAATAATAATAATAATAATAATAATAAAAAAAAAATGCAACTTTTAGGTTTTCAAGAGGTCACGCTTCAAAGCCGAAGCAACATGAGGACACTTCTGCACCAAGATGACAAAATGATAGCTTGACAAGAACTCATATTTGCTGCTGATGGCATAAGTAGCATGAGGAGATAGGAACAACTTCGTAACATCTATCTGTGATAAAAATAACAGGGCATCTAAGACTGATTCAAGTGTAGGATGGTGAATTGCCTAATATCACCAATCTCACAAGTTCTCAAAGTCCATAATCTGGTAAAATGGTAATTACTGTAGAGTTTAAACTAAATTTTGGTATACATAACATCTCAGATGAAAAAAGATGCTTACAACTTCTGTATAATAAGTTCCCTGTTGATAATGCAAATTCGTCTCTGGCTAAACGAGAAAGCATTATAATAAGAAAATTGAAACGAAGCTACAGAAAAAGACTTTATCATAGATCAGAACTTGTACAACTAGCACGTGCACCTAAACATTCACTAGTCAGATGTTAGAAAATTCATGCTTTTGTACTTGGGTCATAATCAACATTGCAATTGCTTAGTAAAGGTGAATTGATTGATGACGAACCAGTAATGGTCACACGAAAGAACCCATTACGATCCAACAACACCTTTCTAATTTTAAGCATAAATATAAAGATCAGAAATTAATTCAGTCAATGATGACACTACAAACAGAATGTTTTAAGATCATACTAGATTCACTCATCCACTGCATCACAATGAAAATTCAGATAGATACAAAGCCACCAAACCCGTAGTAGAAAGACTCTATTTAATAAGGCAGTTCAACAGTATCAGGTTTCCCAACATACAAAATTGTGGAAAGACTAAACATAAAAGATAGACAAATTTTAGATTCACAGCGCAAAACTCTAACGAGCCCAGCTTCTAGATTACATATAATTCATAATAAAAGTCACATCAGCCTCAGTATGGAAACAAGTAGACTCTACAGAGAATATAGACTTCTTATTTTTGCTTAAAATAATATCCTTCACTAACTAGTTTAACCATTTGGAGCATGCATTTTAAGCATATGAAAGTCACTATAAGAAGCTATAATATATTGACTTCCAAATAGCCAAAAACAAATGCAAAGAAAGCTTGCAGGAAGCAGGGAGGAGGATGGGGGCACCTAGGAGGAGAGTTATCTACACTTTCTAGGCTCCAACTGCAAGCATATTAGTCGGAACAAAAACAATCATTTAAGAAACTACTATCTGCAAGTATCAAGCAATCACATTGTAATCATGAATTACATTAGATTTTGACTACCTACCTGATACTGCAAAAGGAAATACACCAAAAGGACTCCTGTTTACAGCTTATTCTTCAACCGCCACAGTTTCACGCTTCAAAATTGGTTTTACCTTCGTAACATGGGAGATTCGTTTTTGAATCCCCTCTTCAATCAACTTGCAATAATTCCTATCGAGAAGATTGATCTCACCTACAGACCTTAGAGCATTTCGAACTTTTTCATAAGTGAATTCTCTAGGAACTGATCCTTGCTTCACCAACTGAACAAGGAAATCCCATGCTTCCACCACTCTACCAGCTTCACACATGGCATGAATTATAGGAGTATAAGAACTTGTGGTTGGTGTCCCATGTTTCAGTTCTTCCATCCTTCTTAACATCTCCACTGCCTTGTCAATATCATTAACAGCACTGTAATACCGAATAAAAGAATTATAAGTGATCCTATTCGGCAAACAGCCTCTCTTTAGCATATCATCAAACAACTCCAATGCTCTGTCAATCCTATAAGTCTTGCAACATCCATTAATCAAAGAATTGTAAGTCACAACATCAGGCACAAACCCTTTGGACAACATTATACGAAAGAAGCGATTTGCCTCCCATACCCTCCTCCGAGTGGCTTTCTTGTAACCAGTTTCCATGCTATGTCTACAGTAAGAACTTATCAAAATTGTATACGTGAAAATATCAGCAGGACATCTAAAACCAGGCAACTCCATTTGTTCTAACATAAGCTTAGCTTTCTTAAAATTTCCAACTCTACAAAGAGCATAAATAATTGTATTATATGCAAGAACATCAGGTTTGCAATGGAACTGCTTCATTCTATAAAATGCAGCCAAGGCTTCATTAACCAATCCTTCTTCTCCTAAAACCTTGATAACACAAGTGACCAAAGAAGTATTAACAAGCCCTTTTTTCGACATTTCTCTAAGAAATCCCCAAAGGGGTCTTAAACTATTTCCTTTGGCCAAAACAAGAGCCATTTCTCTACAAGTAGCTTCATTATGCACAAACCCGAAATGGGATTCAACCAAATAGAAAAATTCAGTAGCTTTTTTCAACCCGAGCTTTACCTTTTCAGTATCCCTATGAGCAGCAGGGCCCAGAATCAGTTTACCAGTTTGCGCTTTCAAGTATTCATCTTTCAGACGTCTCTGCTTGAGCGGAGCGCGATGGCGGAATCCCTTTTGGCTGCCAATCGATCTTGGGGATTGAAAGAAGAATCTTGGAATGAACCTTAGAACTCCAGTGACCGTTTCTGTATTCCAAATTGGATTGCTCACTGAAATGCTCTGCTCTTGAGCTGTGGTTGAGGCAAAAGTAGTGGTTTGAAAAGATTGGTCTTTGATGATTGCAACCAATAGTTGTTTTACAACAGCAGATTCGCTGAAGTAACAATGAAGTGGCCTCGACAGGAACATGAAGACTGGAAAACATAGAAATCTTCCAGAGCATTTGTTGGTAGCCGCTTAATCGGACTTTGGAACGTTTGGGTATAAGACTATAAATTGATAGTTATGGGTATATACTGCGAAATGAAGAAACTTGAGGGGGGTATTTTGTTAGGATGATGGAGCCCATGGAGCCAAGTTGGCTTCTTTTTTCTTTGAATACTTAAGTTGGATTCTTCAATTTGGGTACTTCTTTTCCTCCTTTCAAACGGAGATAGCATCTTGGCCAAAGTTTATTCCTCTTCTTCTTTTCTCAATTTGAAGTTCTTCAGGACAAGGTATGTGGTTTTCGTTTTCCTCTTCCCCTTGTTTGCTTCTGTTCTTTGTTGCTTTTATTTTAAAGTTCGAATTTGAGCATCATTTTCTTTTTCTTTTTTTGGTCAATTGGTGCGCAATTTTGAGTTTAAATTTCATTTAGTCAAGCGAAGATTGCATCTTGTCAAGAGAGATTTAAGAAAGTAGGGTATCATTTGACAATGGAGAAATCAGATATGATTTAGAATGGAGCAACATGATTTGTGCAGCCTTTAGTAATCCAATTTGAAGGAAGCTTGGTTAGTGATGAGCAAGCTATTACACTTGCTCCCAATACCTGTAAATCAGATCAAGCCCGGGAAGTGAAACATTTTAGAGGATAGAATCAGCCCAGGCTGCATTTGTGAATTCTTACATTATCTCAGTAGATATGAGAGTTCTTACATTAGCCCTTTAATAACTTGAACGTTTTTGTTTACTGGATTTCTCTTTCACGTTTATAAAGTATATTTGAGAAACTGAAAATTGGGAGGTCTAAATGAGTCGTTTTACTGGTGAACTATGAATGGATTTCTATTACAATGCTGTGGACATTGAGCAGTGTCTATCGGAATCCTATAAATGTAGGTGACACATTTGAGAGGTTCGAAATTTAACTCTCCCCTGCTGCAAAACTTAGTATGAGAGGTTACAGTGACTCAAACTCGCCCCACCATAACAGTGTGAATCTATCTTATGCCTAGTTGTGAACAGAGAGAAGTCTGAACTCTTAAAAATTACATTACCTTTAATCTAAAGCCACATTTAGTAGAGGAGTTTTATTTCTATATGTTTCAAGACCTTTTTTTGCTTCACTAATACTAAGCATGCAATCATTATGAGCCCCACCGAAATTTCCTACAATCTTGGGTGACCACTTTGACGTTGAGTGGAGGGTATTATTTTGAATATTTTCCAGAAGCTTGTGGGAATGGTCTAAACTATGATTTTTCGTAAATTCTCAGTGTGAAGACTTGATCCTGAAACATTATTTTTGGTGGCTACCTGTGCCAATCTGAGCCTTGCGAGATGGCGGTTAACTGTGTTCAATTTGCCTTAGATGTTCTAGAATCAATACGATGCGAATTCCCTGAGTGGAAAGCATCTCGACTTGGGCAACTGAATGTGCTACTGAGATTTCTCAGGACATTCTATATGTGTGGAAGGAAGAGGTGCAAAGTTGTGCGGTGTGAAACCATCTTACTTGACATTGAAAAGACTGTTCATGAACATGCTAGGCAACTTCAGTCTATTTGTCTCGGATTGAAGAATGCCAATGATCGAGTGATATCTGATGCGAGAAAGCTTTTCCGTAAGGGGATTAAAGAATTTTTTGTTGGCATCAATCGTTTTCTACGAGAAATGAAGGAGTTGTACCTGATTTTCTCTGAATGCTCGTTGGAAACTAGTGATTCTTTGCAGGAAGTCAAACTTGAGGATATTATGGACTCCCTTCTTGACAATTTGAAAGATATTTTGCAGTTTATGGACTCCAATGGAACCCCCACAAGTCTGATTGAGGGACTCGAAGGAAACATAAGATTCTTGAAAAACTTCATTCTTCTCGCCATATGTCAAGGTCTTCAGCATAGACAGTTGGAAGATCTGTTGTCTCACATTGAAGGCTTGATTGTAAATGGTGCGCGCCTCACCTTCATGTGCCGGTATGGCGATAATCCTCAAATGAATCATGTCAACGAACTTACCAGAAGGATCAAGCCTACTGAATACCATATTTGTAAGATTTATGTTAAGGTCCTGCAGGATGTTTCTCTGGGGTCGTTGCTGTCATCCCACCCTACCACTCCTGGAAGTCAAAGACCTGTGTTTCGGGATTTTGTTGATTCTCTCATCTTTATTCTTTGGGAGCTATTATCCATCGATAATAGTTGTGCAGACACTTTTAGCCATCACTTGCAAGAACTTTTTGGGGACCTTACATTCTTGAGATTCATTCTGAGGGTGCACCAAAAGAAATTGGATGAGCTTTATGAGAAGCTGCATGATCTAATTAAAGTTGTGGTTTGTGAGGCGGGAATTTTAGTTTGTTATCTTTTCCTACAAGAAAATGAAGGAGGAATTGATAAAGAACTGAATATTCTTTTTTTAGAATTCAAGGAGAAGTTTAAGCTTATCAAGGTAGAAGAAAAGACACAGAAATTTTCATTCTTGAAATCATCCAAGTTTCCTCAAACTGACATGATGAGGTTTATTGATTCGGTCTTGGAAAAGTTAAAGTTTCCCAATCCCAATGAGGCTGATTCAGCTGCTTTAGCAAAGAGTAAGTTTCGTACTATCCACCGTGATCTTGCTTTCTTAAGATCTTTTCTGGTTGATGTTACCTTACAGTGTGACCAAAATGAGAAGCTCCAAGCTCTTCAGAATCGTATTGTTGTGGTAGCTTATGAGACAGAGTTTGTTCTTGATTCTTTAGAGATTGGTGATGCTATTCAGGATTTGCTTGTGCTGGTTGATACTATCATAGAAGAGATCAAGCTTATTAAGAATGAGGCCTTGGAAACATTTCACAGCAAGAGGCAAACATCCAAAGTCCAAAATATTGTTAAGACTAACAGTGTCATTCCATCAACAGGTGAGATCCCATTATTGGATGAGTCTGTGGTGGGCATGGAGGATGAGGCAGAAACGATAATCAGTCAACTCACAAGGGGTACAAAACAGCTGGACATTTTTTCCATTGTAGGTATGCCTGGATTGGGCAAAACTACCTTAACCGAAAAAATCTATAACGATCCCTCTATCGTCTTGCACTTTCATGTTCGTTCATGGTGCTGTGTTTCACAAGTATACAGCAAGAGAAGTTTGTTACTTGAGATTTTAAGTGGTGTTATTGATGATATTCTTGACCATAGAGAAGACGATTTGGCTGAAGTACTCTACAAAAATTTAAAGGGAAAAAGGTATCTCATTATTTTGGATGATCTTTGGGATACTTCGGCATGGAATAGTTTGAGAAGTTCGTTCCCAAATGATTGTAATGGAAGCAGAATTCTATTGACAAGTCGACTTCATGATGTGGCTTCGCAAATCAAACCAGATCGTGAACCTCACAATCTTCGTTCACTCAACAAAGATGAAAGTTGGGAACTAATGCAGAAGAAGATAAATAATCTGGAAGGATGTCCTCCTGCACTAATTTCACTTGGGATGGAAATTGCAGAACTATGCAAGGGGTTGCCGCTGATGATTCTAATTGTTGCCGGAATTCTCTCAAATACGAATAATGATACATGGAGTGAAGTTGCTGAAGGTTTGAGGAAAGGTACTCTATCTACTTCTGAACAATGTCTGCAGACTTTAGAGTTAAGTTATTCTCATTTGCCTGACTACCTGAAATCATGCTTTCTATACTTTGGAGCATTTCAAGCAGACCTACGGATACGTGCTCGGGAATTGTTATGGCTATGGATCGCTGAAGGATTTGTAGAGAGAACTGGAAAAGTGTGCTTACAACGTGTTGCAGAGGGTTACCTGTTGGAGTTGATACAAAGAAATTTAGTTATAGTTTCTGAGAAAGGGTTGAGAGGCAAGGTCAAATATTGTGCTGTTCATAACCTCTTGCATGACTTCTGCATGGCGAAAGGAAATGAAGAATACTTTCTCCGATGCTTGAAAGAGTATGATCTCGGTACTTCCATTGAGACAAACACATCATATCGGTTGCTTGTGCTATGCAAAATCGAGGATATTGCAGAATCAAGAGTTCTTTCTCCTCGTTTACGCAGTCTGTTCTTTCGTGCTGATTATGAAGAAAGGTATGCACGGAATTGGTACAATATCTTGTACAATTTATGCCAGTCCAGACTTTTAAGAGTATTGGACTTACGGAGAATCAATGTTGGCTCTTTCTTTCCTAGAGTAATTGAATCACTTGTTCACTTGAGGTACTTGGGCTTGAGCATTGAAGCTCCATCACTTACCATCCCATCATCAATTGGAAAACTCTCGAATTTGGAGACTTTTATTCTTGAAAGGTGTCGAGGAGATGTTTCACTGCCAGATACTGTGTGGAATATGAAACTATTACAACATTTGTGTCTTACTGGTGCACTTGGTTGTTGGAAGTTTCCCACAGAGAATCCTGATGCTAGCCCCAATTTAGCGAATTTAGAAACTCTTTCCACTGTAGTTTTCCTTTCTGACCATACGATGAAGGAGATATTGAGAAAGTCTCCAAATATCCGAAGACTTAACTGCAATCTCGGTGCTACAGGAGACACTGGGGACTGCATGATTTTGGCACTAGATTTTATGACTCAACTGGAATCACTCACTATCAATCAAATTCCGCACGACTTTCATTACTTGCACTTGGAGCTTCCTTGGAATCTTAAGAAACTAGTTATCTCAAACTTTCATCTTCCTTGGAGTAAAATTTCGGTCATCGGTAACCTGCCGAATCTTGAGGTTCTTAAGTTACTGAAGAGTGCATTTGTTGGAAAGATATGGGACCTGGAAGAAGGGTCGTTTCCCAAACTCAGATTTCTAAAGTTGGCAGGCTTACATTTAGCTAGGTGGAATTGGTCAGAGTCTGAAGATCATTTTCCCTGTCTTAATAAACTAGTGTTGGAAGGATGCAGGTACTTGGAGGAAATCCCTTCTGCTCTGGCTTACGTTTCTACTCTTCAAACAATCGAGGTTTTTGGCTGTAAATCTGCCACCAGTTCAGTAGAGATATTTAAGAAAACTTTGATGGATATGGGAAATGAGGATCTGAAGATCATTATTCAACCTACACGGCGGAAGCGTTATTAACCTCATGGTCAGATTGAGAATTTTAATCTTGTCATCAGTGAAAGATCACAGAAAATATTCTACAACACTAGTCCTCCTGTAATAAAGAGCCTGTATTCTTGTACTGTTTCAGTAGCATGTTCAATAAAACGTTCAAGTGTTTGAAATTTGTGTAGTTGAATAGGTATGCATCCATCTGGGATTCTTTGCAATCTGAATGAGTCCATCTATTTGTTTCAGAAAGTTTTGAAGGATATAGAGATCATGAAGTGTAAGTTAGATTTTTCTGTATCTTTTTAGTTTGATACCACTGCTTATCAGTGCATTTGTAGCTCATGGATCTGGATTGCATACACACAAGTGCCTTTCCAATAACTTTAATGGCGACTAATGCTGAATTGTGGATGTCTAAAGTAAGTGTTTTTCTCTCTCAAGTCTTAATCATTTACTGCTGATTTGATTATTGAGTTCTGCTAATTGGTTTCCATATCTTTTCTTAAGTATGTTTATATTGGTTTAATGGAGAATGGTCTCTGAAATGTATTAGTTATAGTTGATCTGGTGATTGTTTATAAAATGTTGTTAACAAGCCTCATGGATTATGGAGCTTGAAGTTACTTTGGTTTGCTTTCTTCACAAAAGGCTGATTTCTTCAGCTCGTGGTTTATTTATTGAGATCAATGGTGTTTAGTTGCTAAGATGGTTATTTATAATGCATTCCGTGTATGATTATTGTAAAATATGATTTGGAGCACTCATAACATTGGGGAAACTGTGAATGTAATGGGTTGTAATGGCTCCTACGGAGAGGACAGGCGACTCAGGCGAGAGTCAAGTTTGTTATTATAACCAGATTCAGTTCATATGAGAAATTTGCGGGGATCCATTGAGTTGATTACTGTAACATGCTCTGTGGAACTTGCTGTACCAAATAGATGTATGTACTTATAGAGATTGCAAAGCACCCCAGATGGATGCAATCTTATTCAATTGTGATAGTTTGGGAGGAGCTCAATTGTGATAGTTTGGGAGGAGCCATCGCAGGAAATCAGATACCATTTCTGCATTTCTGGAAGAAATGACTGCCTGATGCTAACAGAAAATTCAGAAAACACATTGTGAAAAAGTTTTCTTCCATAGAATATCACTTGATCGTTGTCATTCCTCATTGTGCGAAAAAATGACTTAAAAACTCCCGGAGTATGTTGGCTAACAGCATTCTCTGTCAAGCAAGATCGATTTACAAGTTCTCGCCTTTTCGGTACATCATCCTTGCGCACAGATAAAACTGTTTTCAAGAATCTCAAAAAGCACATTCAGTTGACTCAAAACTGGATGGGTACTGATTCAACAGCATCTAATGCAGTTGTGAAAGCAGTTATTGGCCATTTCTCTCAAGATCAGCTCCCAGGTTAGTGTAGATAAACACACCTAAATTTTATTTTTCAGTATCAACTAGGCTACCACTGAGAAGACAACACAATCACATTTATGCTGTTTTCTCAAATCTTCGTTGGTGATAAAACTGTATGAGTAAAAAGAAAGCGATTCCGGGAACCACACAGTTTTATAGTCCGTACACAAGTATACACACTAAAGAGACATTCCCATGGAAAATAATTAAAAGCAATTTATGAATATATGGGAATCCATTCATCATCTGCATATGGAAAAACTTCAGTCCAAACAAGTTTAAAGTGAACAATAAAAAGAAAATTAAGGGACCTTGCACAATCAGCAATTACTGGATTTGTTCATCCTTTCTCCCTTTAATTTACACAATTACCATGCCACTTCAAACCACATTGTTGATGAAGGACTACTTCAAACCACTTCATCGTTAATCTCTGAGTCCTTAAAGTCAGTTGCATAACACTTAAGCATATGTAATGCAAATCCAAACTAAATGGTTATAACAGCTACAAATGCCCAAAAGGTAAAATGCCAACAACCTAAAAAGGACCGGCCTATTCTTATCTGCAGTGTACATTTTCCTCTATGTGTCCTTCTCACTTCCATGTCAAATACTCCCTCCGTTACTATTTATATGAAACAAACTTAGTAGGATGAGTTGGAGTAACATATAGTTATAATCATGCCTTTAAGTAGAAATTCATCTTGAAATGCGATTGCGCAGCATGGAAACACACTTGAAACTGTTAAGTTTACATACTACTGAAAATAGGCTCTACACAAAAACAACAGTGATAGAGAACTGTACTGTGATGTTTCACTTGATGACATTATCAAAGTTCTGAATCCAATCACGAGGTTAAACAGGCTTTCGCCGTGCAGTGTGAATGAAGATCTTTACATCATTTCCAATGTGCTTCACTTCTTCTTGAATCTTCTCAGTAGAACTAATGACAGATCTACAGTTGAAAACCTCAATCACTTGAAGAGTTGGAACATCGGCTAAACCAGAAGGGATTTCCAATAAGCGTTGTCATCCTTCCAATACTAATTTTTCAAGACTGGGAAGGAAATCATCTTCCTAGTGTGTCCATGCCCAAGTATATAGATTCAGGCCTGCTAACTTTGGCAGTTTCAGTTTCACGAATGTCCCATCTTCCATGTTCCGGTCCTTCCCAGTAAATGCACCCCCCAGTAACTTAAGAACCTCGAGATTTGGCAGTTTTACCAACTGCTGAAATTTCGCTCCAAGGAAGCCTAAAAGTCTGAGATGACAAGCTTCTTTAGATTCTTTGGAGACTCAATCGAGTAATGAGGACCTCGATGCTTAGTTGCTTACAAGTGATTGTGAGTGTATCAAGCTGACTCATAAAATCAATTTAAGGATTCTGCAGCCCTCATTTGAAGCTCCTGTCACACCAATATTCCTGTTAAGTCTGCAAATATTTGGAAACCTTCTTACTACCTCATTCCTTGTATGGCTACAAGAAAATGAAACCATGGAAAGAGTTTCTAAATTCTCTAACTTGAGGGAACAACCCTCAGGATTCTTTTCTGAAAACTTCAACCCCGCATTTTTCAAGAATAAAAGTCTCCAAATATGAGAGGTTTTTAATTGATGATGGGATAATAAGTGTTGAACCTTTGATGCCTGGGGACATGTTTCAATGAATAGGGCTAAGTACCTTAACTGAACTAGTAACTCAATTAATCTTGGAAACAGAAGCCAAATTTGATTCTCCGCAAGTCCAGAATTCTTAAAAGTATATAATAGCAGAAATTGTACAATACATTGTACCAGTGCTGTGCATACCTTTCTTTATAATCCACAGTGACGAACAGACTGCATAAATGAGGGCAAAGCAATCTTGATTCTGCAAAATCCTCTCTCCTATATTGCACATGTAATTGATATGGTATATCAGTCTCAATGCAAGTGCCATGATCACGTTCCTTCAAGCAATGCAGAAAGCATTCCTCATTGCCTTTCGCGATGCAGAAACCGTGTAAGAGGTTATGTACAACAGACTATATGACCTTGCCTCTGGAACCTTTCTTAGAAATCATGACTAGATTTCTTCGTATCAACACCATCATGTAGCCCTCTGCTATAAGTTGTAAGCTCTCTTATCCACTTTTCTCCACAAATCCTTCAGCTATCCATAGCCATAACAAATCACGGACACGAATATTTTGGTCCAGGTGAAATGCTCCAAAATAGAGAAGGCATGGCTTCAAGTAATCTGGCGAATGAGAATAACTCAACTCCAAAGTGTTCAGACACTGATCAAGAATAGATAGACTACCTTTCCTTAACCTTCTGCGACTTCTTTCCAAGAATCTTGGTCTGTATTCGAAAGAATTCCAGCAACAATTTGAATCATTAGAGACAATCCCTTGCAAAGTTGAGCAATTTCCATTCCAAGTGAAATTAGTTCTGGAGGACATCCTTCTATGTAACTTATCTTGCTCTTCATTAGCTCCCAACTCTCATCTATGGTGATCGACCGGAGATGGGGAAGTTGACGATCTGGTTTGATTTGCAATGCCACATCATGAAGTCTTACTTGTAAGGATTTCTACTTCCATTAGCATCATCTGGGAATGAACATTTCAAGTTGTCCCAAACTGAAGTATCCCAAAGGTCATCCAGTATAATGAGATACTTTTTTCCCTTCAAATATTTGTAGAGAGCTGCAGCCAAATCATCTCCTGTCTCGTCAAGAGTATCATCAGTCATACCACTTAAAATCCGGCGTTTGTAAACTTGAGAAACACAACACCAAGAACGAACATGAAAGTGTAGGATGATGGGGGGATCACTGTAAACCTTTTTAGCCAATGTTGTCTTTCCTAATCCAGGCATACCTACAATGCAACAAATGTCCAACTGTTTGGTTCCTCTTGTAAGTACATTAATTATTGTTTTTGCCTCGTCGTCCAATAATGGGATCTCACCTGCTGATGGCTTTCTATTGTCAGTGTCAGCAATATTGTGGACTTTGGCAAGCAGCCGCATGCTATGAAAAGGTTTCGAGGCCTCAACCTTATTGAGCTTGATCTCTTCTGTAACGGTATCAACCAGCAGACACAATTTCTGAATACAATCCCCAACCACTAAAGAATCAAGGACAGAAATGTGGCAAAAAGAATGAAATTCTTCAAGAATCTTACATTTCCTTCAAGTTCCTCAACTAGCTCTCTTGATGCTTGGCGAGATTTCATTAACCGCACCAGATGATGCAAATCATGAAGAATGGATTCTACTATATCCTCGAGTTTGACTTCCTCCACAGAAACAGCACTTTGGGAGGAGTCCTCGCAGAAAATCAGGAACCACTTCTGCATTTCTTGCAGAAATGATTGCCTGATGCGGACAGAAAAATCAGAAACCATCTTCCGGAAACTTTTTCTTGAATGGACTATCACTTGATTGTCGTCACGCCTCATTGTGTGAAAAATCGACTCAACTCGCTGAGTATGTTCGCGAACAGCATTCTCTATGTCAAGCAAGATGGATTTACAGTTCTCGCCTTTGCTATACATCCTCCTTGCACACAGATAAAATGTTCTCAGGAACCTCAAAATGTTCTCACAAACATTTGAAACCAAAGACTAAAAAAGAATAGAGGCCAAGAACAAGAACGTGTAATGTAACTCAAATGGGGCCATAATAAGATATATAAAAAGATACATACCTTTGTTGATGAAGGAGTTCAAACCGAGTAAACAGAAAATTTGTATTTTTCCTTCCAGTGAGAAAAGGAAAAGGAAAACATGTTTGATTTAGTGAGGTTAGGAAATGAGAGAAACCTTCTGTTATCTGCTTGAAAGGAAATATCTTAACTAAAATTTTTTATATGTGAATATGCAACCTTCAAACACTCTAGAACAGTTTATTAAATAAGGATACTACTGAAGATAGTACAAAATATTGGCTCCATACAGAGAAGTACTTTGATTTTTGGAAAAATGTTGTGTAATCTTCCATAATGAAGAAGTCACAAGTCTAAGATCTATTACAAGACCACACTTCGGTGGTATGCGATCCCGGCAACATCATGCTGGCTTATATAAGTTCTTATTCACCGCTTCCTTCGAGCAGTGTGGAAAAAGATCTTCACATCCCCATGTCCAAAATACTCCAGTTTTTCCTTAATTCTCTCAATTGAATGAGTCGCAGATTTACAGTTGAAAACCTCAATCACATGAAGAGTAGAAAGATTGGCCAAACCAGAAGGAATTTCCTCCAAGTGCCGGCATCCTTCCAATACTAATGTCTCAAGGCAGGGTAAATAAGTACCATCTGACTCTGACCAGTTCCACCTAGCTAAATGCAAGCCTGCTAACTTCAGAAATCTGAGTTTGGTGAATGTGCCTTCTTCCAGGTTCCATATCTTCCCAACAAATGCACTCTTCTGCAACTTCAGTATCTCGAGATTTGGCAGTTTCCCGATTTCTGACATTTTACTCCAAGGTAGCTGAAAGTTTGAGATGACTAGCTTCTTTAGGTTAGTAGGAAGCTCCAAGCGCAAGTAAAGAAATCTGTGCTGAATTTGAGTCATTGTCAATGATTCAAGTCGAGTCATAAAATCTAGCTTCAGATTTCTACAGTCCCCTGCGGGTGTTGCTGCAGTACTGAGATTACAGCTAAGTCTGCGAATATTAGGAAACTTCGACATTGCCTCCTTCATTGTGTGGCCACAAGAGAAAAATACAGTGGAAATAGTGTCTACATTCTCCAAATCAGGGCCATGGTTCTCTTTTGAAAACTTCCAGCAGCCAAGCGCGCCAGTTTTGCACAGATGTCTTAATTGCTTCATATTCCACATGCTCTCTGGCAACGAAACATCCAGTTGGCATCGTTCAAGGATAAAGGTTTCCAAATTTGAGAGATTTTGAATCCATGATGGGATGGTAAGTGTTGAAACCTCAATTCTCGGGGAAGTGGCTGAACCGTCTATGCTTAGGGCCAAGTACCTCAAGTGAACAAGTAATTCGATTACATTTGGAAAGAAGGACCCAAAGTTGATTTTTCGCAAGTCCAAAACTGTTAGAAGTCTGGACTGGCAAAAACTGTACATGATACTGTACCAATGCTGTGCAAACCTACTTTCTTCATAATCCGCATTGAGGAACAGACCATGCAAATGAGGAAAACCCAACCTTGACTCCTCAAAATCCTCTCTCCTACACTGCACATGCAACCGATGTAATTTGTTTGTATCAATGAAAGCACCAAGTTCATAACCTTTTAAGAAATGCAGAAAATGTTCTTTTTTGCTTTTTTCCATGCAGAAGACATGTAAGAGGTTATGAAGAACACAATATTTTACTGTGCCTCTGGAACCTTTTTTAGAAACCATAACTAAATTCCTCTGTATTAACTCCATCATGTAATCTTCTGCAACAAGTTGTAAGCACTTTCCTCTTGTTTCTGCTACAAATCCTTCTGCGATCCATAGCCATAACACTTCCTGAACACGTATTTGCTGGTTGGCTTGAAATACTCCAAAGTAGAGAAAGCATTGTTTTAAGTAGTTTGGCAAATGAGAATAACTTAATTCTAAAGTCTTCTCACACTGTTCAACAACAGAAAGTGTACCTTTCCTTAAACCATCTGCAACTTCTCCCCAATTATCTTCCTCCATACTTGCAAGAATTCCAGCTACAATAAGAATCATCAGAGGCAATCCCTTGCAAAGTTCTACAACTTCCATTCCATGTGAAGTTAGTGTTGGTGAACAGCCTTTTATATACCTAATATTCTTCTGCAAGAGTTCCCAACTCTCATCTCTTGTGAGCGAACGAAGGCTGTAAGGTTGACGATCTGGTTTGATTTGCAAAGCCACATCATGATGCCGACTTGTCAAGAGGATTCTACTTCCATTAGCATCATCTGGGAATGAAAGTTTCAAGCTATTCCATGCTGAGATATCCCAAAGATCATCCAAAACAATGAGGTATCTCTTCCCCTTTAAATGCCGGTATAGCACTACAGCCAAATTATCTTCACTCTTGTTAAAAATCTGATCAACAACTTCACCTAAAATCTCAAGTAACAAACTTCTCTTGCTATAAACTTGAGAAACACAACACCATGAACGAACATCAAAATGAAACATGATGGAGGGGTCATTATAAACTTTTTTGGCAAAAGTCGTTTTGCCTAATCCAGGCATACCTACGACAGAGAAAATATCCAATTTTTTTGTGCGTTTTATGAGTTGCTTAATCATCATATCTGCCTCATCACGCAAGCCCACCACAGACTCGTCGAGTACTAAGTACTCACTTGTGGGTGGCATCTTACTGTAAGTCTTATCATATTCTGACAAGCGCGCCTGAGGCAAGTTGGATGCCCACAATAATGGAAATTTCTGTGCCTTCTCTTCTCCCTTGATGAGCTTAAACTTTTCAACCAATGCTGAAAACCGAAAGTCCAAATTTTCAACTTCTCCTTCATCCCCTTTTAGGAAAAGGCAACAGACTAAGATTCCTGCATCACATATCACAACTGCAATAAGGTCATGCATTTCCTCATCTAGGTCGTCCAATTTATGCTGGTGAGACATCAAAAGGGTCCTCAAGAATGTAAGGTCCCCATATAGGTTTTGCATTTGATAGTTAAAGGTGTCTGCGCATCTGTTATCAATAGAGAAAAGCTCCCACAGAAGAAAGATGAGAGAATCAATGAAGTTCCCAAAGACAATTCTTTGGCTTCGAAGAGTAGAATGGTGCGATGACAAAGACAATTTTGAGGCTTCCTTCAGGACCTCAACATAAATCCCAAAAACATGAGATTCAACTGGCTTGATTCTTTTTGTAAGGTCATAAATGTGTTCAGTTTGTGGATTCTCATCATACCGGAACATCAAAGTGAGGCGGGCAACACTGACAACCATGCGTTCAACAAAGGTCAATAGAGCTTTCATCTGACTATGCTCAAGATCTTGGATTCGAAATGTGGCAAACATAACAAAGTTCCTTAAGAATCTTACATTTCCTTCAAGTTCCTCAATTAGAACTGTGGAAGTTCGGCGAGAGCTCATGAACTGCACAAGATCCTGCAAATTCTCAAGAAGGGAGTCCATGGCATCCTCGAGTTCTACAACCCGCGAAGAATCACTAGTTTGCAACAAGTCATCAGAGAAAATCAGGTACCATTTCTGCATTTCTTGAAGAAATGTGTCCCTGATGCAAACAAAAAAATTAGAAACCTTCGTGCGGTATTGTTTCTTTGCATCAGATATCACTTGATCATCACTATCCATCGATACCAAACCAACTGACTGAATTTCCTGAGTGTGATCGCGAACAGTCTCATCAATGTTACTCAAAATACACAAAGTAGATTCACAGTGTACACTTCTACACCTCTTGCCAGCATATAAATAAAACGTTCTTAGAAATCTCAAAATCACAATCATTTTTCCAATGCGAACTGATTTCCACTTAGGAAATTGTTTGTCTAACGATTCGAGAACATCTAATGCAGTTTGAACAGCAGTAACAACCATGTTTCTCTCTACAAATCGATCAGATTGATGCAGAAAGCCACCAAAATGAAAGTGATCACTGATCACAGGATCAACAAGTTTACCACTGTGGAGACAACAAATAGAGGTTATTACACTTTAGACCACATATAGCAAATATTTTTTTTTCAAAATGTTCAAAGAGTATTTGCAGCCCACTTTACTCAATGAGAAATTCTTACTCCGTCAGTCATACAATAAACAAGACAATTATTTTCTCCGTCATATCACAAATAGGTCAGTCTATTCATATATCCATTAAAAAAAATTAATACAAAAATGAAAGCACCATTCCTTAACTTTCATGGTAAAATGAATTCCAATTGAAACTGATGAAGGAAAACACTCCAAACAAATCAGATGTAGAAATTCACATACTGTATATTGTTGTAACAGGAGAAAAAAAAAAGAAGAAAAATAAAAAGAATCGCATATATCATATATTGCTGCATTAGATAAAAGTAAAGATGAAACAATGAAGTTTAAGATAATTACTTGAAAAATAAAATACTAAATTGACCTGCAAGTTTTTGAGATTAGAGGCAACCAATAAATGTGGCGAAGAGCTCTCACAGGATTATTGTCTTTCTTTCACAAACTTAGAATTACTCAAACATTTCATAGGGAATGATTAATGATCATAAGAAAAATAGTCAATCTTCTCATGATTTGTTGCTTGATTACTCTTTTGTCACTTTTATTTTGTTCGGGTCGAAACCTACCTTATAAATGAGACTATAGTAAAAAACGAAATAGTCTCATTAATAAGGTGAGGAATATTCTCATTAGAGAATCCTCCTATTTTTTTTATGAGTAATAATTGATACAAGGAAAAAATAACAAGAAAAATTACAAGAAAATGATCTCACCAATCCATTTTCAAAACTTTCCAAACAGGGTTAATGCATTTAAGGTTAGGGCATAGTTAAGATATTGACACTTCATTCCTTGTTATTTTTTCTTGTCATTTTTTCTTTTTACCTATCACTATTCTTTTTTTATTTTCATTATTTGGTACAATGAACAAGACTATTGTTTAGAAAACGAAAATACTACTTAATGAATTGGAATGTGGACAAAATCCAATTTGCTTCGAACATACTGGAATCACACTAACAAATTCTTATTTAACAGTATATCGATCTCTTTCTAAAACTTCCTCTAAAAATACCTGAGTCTTCTTCCTGATCTCGTGATATGCTCTTGTTTGATTGAGCCTAATGAATTAAGGATATTATGATTTGATTTATACTCAATCCATAAAAGGGTTTTTTTTTAAAAAAGATAGGAAAAAAGATATTGGTGACGGGCATGAACAAGATTGGCATAAGAAAATCTTTTTCACTATGTTTTGCGGTAACGGGTATGGGTTTATCCATTTCTGAAGGGTTTCTCGTGTTGAAATGGAAAATTAACAACAGAATAGAGTCAATGACAATAAGATGTAAACATGTAGACGAAATTGGCTAACCTTAGTAAAGAGTTTCATACATACTTTGTTAGTGAAGAACTTCAAAACTGAGCAAACAGAACTTTGTTTTTCTGTCTTTTTGTGTTTCTTTTCTTGTATCATCAACAAGACAAGAAAAGCTAAAAGAACGTTTAAACTGAAAAATGAGAATGGCTGAGCGAGTACAGGAAATGAAAGAAAGTATGAACTTAATTAGTAAATATCTTATGATCAATAATGTGGAAATCAGGCAATAACAATGCTGAATTTGGTTAAGTTTCCATCCACTTTCCATCTTTGTTCAAATTTTTTTATCATTTATTTTTTGTTTTTTCATTCAGTCAACTACATTGGATCACACTAAAAGTAGACGAGACGATTTTAAATTACTAACGTTGTTGATAAATTAATTTGGTTAGGTTCATTAATATTGCATTAGACCAGAGGCAAAAGACATAATTGTATAAACAATCACGAAGCCTAATTTCTAAATGTACATCAACTCTTGAGTTTCTGACCTTTGGCAAGACAGAAAGGGCAAAAGTTCGGCCTAAATTTTGGCAATGACATTGATTTGGTAAAATGTTTTAAGGGTTTTTTTTATTGAAAAAAAAAATGTTTTAAGGGTAGATTCTATTGAACTAGGAGGGTGAACTTGGGATCAGTTTTTTTTTTTTTTAATCTAATAGTTGTTATTATGAGTAACCGGTTTCGATTAATTTGTTAGTTTTTTTTTTTTTTTTTTGAAAAAGAATTTGTAGTTGAACTGACATAATTGAATATAAGTATGCATCCATATGGGATGGTTTGCAATTTAATCTTCATAAGTACATACATCTATTTGTTTGAGAAAGTTTTCAAGGATATGTAGAGATCATAAACTGTAAGTTAGATTCTTTCTTCATCTTTTAGTTTGATACCACTGTTAATTGCTTAGTGCATTTGTAGCTCATGAAGTTGGACTGCACACACGCAATCCTTTCCAATAACTTTAAGGACGACTAATGTAGATGTCTCAAGTAAAGGTGTTTATCTCTCAAGTCTTGATATTTTACTGCTGATTTGATTATTAAGTTATGCTAATTGGTTCACATATGGTTTCTTGAACAGTTTTGTATTCATTTAATGGGGAAATGGCCTACCAAATGTAATAGTTATTGTCGATATGGTGAAATTGTTTATGATATATTGTTTATAACAAAGTCTCGTAAATTATGGAGCTGGAAGTTATTTTGGATTGCTTTCTTCACATTTCAAAAGGCTGATTTCTTCAGCTTGTGAATATATTTATTTTCATGTCAATGGTGTTTAATTGCTTAGATGGACCCAGGGGCGGAACTGTTCAGGGGCTTGGGAGGTTTCAAGCCCCCCCGGCCGGCCGGAGGAAGCCAAAGTGACCTCCGGCGGGAGCCCTTGGATGATCTGTTATCTTCTCTCAGACCCCCGATATAGGATTGAGGGGGCTTGAGGGTCGCAAGTTCAGCCCTTTGAGGGTTGTGATGCTTATTTTCAAAATTCGGCAGCGGCGGCCGGAGTAGCAGCGCCGGATGTGAGGAAGAAGATGATCTGATTTTGAAGTTTTAGAAATTTTAAATAGGTCCCAAACTTTCTCATATGGTCGATAATGCCCCATTACACTTATAAATTCTTGTCCCTATCATTTTGTTAGAGTTTTTTAATTAATTTTTTTGAAATTTCTGTGGACAAATCTATATCCTTCGGATTTCCAAAATCCGAATTCGGGGTAAACTCGGATTTCGGAAATCCGAATTTAATAGAAAACGAATTTTGAAAATCCGAATTCATTTTAATTAAAACTAAAACTAAGTAAATTTTTCATCTGTCATAATTAATCATAATTCGGATTTCTGAAATCCAACTTTATGATTAAAATATTAATTTTTGTACAAGTGTTGTTACTTTTTTGGACACGAATTGGATTTCTGAAATTCGAATCTTCCATGCTCCCTGATAAACTCGGATTCTAGAAATCCGAACCTAAACCCTAAACCCTAAATCCGAGTATATGTTACACTTGGATTTTGGTAATCCGAGTATATGTTGCACTCGGATTTTGGTAATCCGTTTATAGGTTACACTCGGAGTTTGATAATCCGAGTATAAGTAACACTCGGATTTGGGAAATCCGAAGTTAAACCCTAAACCCTAAATCCTATGGCCTTATTTTGGAAATCTAATTTTTTGCTTGACTCAGATTGTGAAAATGTGATTATTTGCTTAAAAGGTACATAACAGTGGTACAGATAGATTATACTGAATTAATGATAATATTTAATAACTAACAGATTTAATAATAATAAATAACAGTAATACCACTAATGTATAATGAGTATTAGTATTAATGTACTACATAATACTAGTACGTACAAATAGTACATAACACTAATACAGATGAATTATACTGAATTAATGATAATATTTAATAACTAATAGATTTAACAAGAATAAGTAACACTAGTACCAGTAATGTATAATGGATAATAGTATTAATATATTACATAATACTAGTACGTACAAATAGTACATAACACTAATACAGATAAATTTTACTAAATTAATGATAATATCTAATAAAGAATAGATGTAATAGTAATAAGTAACACTAGTACCAGTAATGTATAATGGATAATAGTATTAATGTATTACACAATACTAATACGTACAAATAGTACATAACACTAATACAGATAAATTATACTAAATTAATGATAATATCTAATAACTAATAAATGTAACGGTAATAAGTAACACTAGTACCAGTAATGTATAATGGGTAATAATATTAATGTATTACATAATACTAGTACGTAAAAATAATACATAACACTAATACAGATAAATTATACTAAATTAATGATAATATCTAATAACTAATAGATATAACAGTAATAAGTAACACTAGTACCAGTAATGTATAATGGGTAATAGTATTTATGTACTACATAATACTAGTACGTACAAATAGTACATAACACTAATACAGATGAATTATACTGAATTTATGATAATATATAATAACTAATAGATTTAACAGTAATAAGTAACACTAGTACCAATAATGATGGGTATTAGTATTAATGTACTACATAATGCTAGTACGTACAAATAGTACATAACACTAGTACAGATGAATTATACTGAATTTATGATAATATCTAATAACTAATAGATTTAACAGTAATAAGTAACACTAGTACCAATAATGTATAATGGGTATTAGTATTAATGTATTACATAATACTAGTATGTACAAATAATACATAACACTAGTACAGATAAATTATACTGTTTTTGTGATAATATATAATGACTAACAGATTTAACAGTATAAATAACAATAGTATCAATAATATAAAATGTGTATTAGTATTAATGTACTACATAATACTAGTACGTACAAATAGTACATTACACTAGTACAGATAAATTAACAGATTTAACAGTAATAAATAACAATAATAAATAACAATAATAATTAACAGTAAATTATACTAAATTAATAATAATATAT